GAAGTCCAACATTTTACTGACCACATCAACTCTGTGGATAAATACATAAATTTCACATGAGAAGATGAAAAAAAATGGCAAGTTGGCTTTCTTGGACTGTGAGGTCTCAGTCTCTGATAGAGGACATTTGCAAACCGAGGTGTACCACAAACCCACCCACACAGACCAGTATTTGCAGTTTGACTCCCATCACCCTTTGGAGCACAAGTTAGGAGTCATCAGGACTCTGTATCACAGAGCAGACAGCATCCCCACTAGCTCAGGAGCCAGGCAGAAGGAGAAATCCTACACAAAACAGGCTCTAGAGCAATGCGGATATCCTAACTGGGCCTTCCAGAAAGCAGAGAAGAAACCCAAACAGGACTCCAGTCAGCCATCAAGTAAAAAGGAGGAACCCAGACCCAGACCAGTGGTCATTCCGTATGTTGAGGGGGTATCAGAGAAACTGAGACGTTCATTTTCTAAACATAACGTCCCAGTGGCTTTTAAACCCCAAAATACATTACGGCAAAGACTGGTTCATCCCAAAGATCCAGTCCCCCGGCACAAACAGAGTAATGTTGTGTATGCTGTTCAGTGTCAGGAGGGCTGTGATCAGTCTTACATCGGGGAAACTAAACAGCTACTGACCAAAAGGATGGCCCAGCACAGAAGATTAACATCATCAGGCCATGATTCTGCAGTCTACACTCATCTCCAGGCCAGCGGTCACTCTTTCAAGGATGAAGATGTTCACATCCTGGACAGAGAGGAACGATGGTTTGAGAGAGGAGTAAAGGAGGCCATCTTTGTGAAAAGAAATCGTCCATCATTAAACAGGGGTGGAGGCCTCCGGGTTCAACTGTCCCCCTCTTACAATGCTGTGATTGCTAGTATCACTCAGCCTTCTGTGAGTAGTAAACAGCCATCAGTGTGCTAATGATCCATTGTTAGGCTGATGGTCCTTCTTGAGCATGTGATCAGCTGGTTTTGGTTGTCAGCAGCAAAACTGGTTGATCCACTCTGAGAAGGTGCTATTTATGAGACTGAGCTGAAAACAGCACCTCAGACTGAGGAAGTCTCTTGGATGAGAGACGAAACGTTTCTACATTTTTTTGCTTTGTTTTGTTTTTTGGTTTTTTGAATGTCCAGAGGACCAGATTGGCCTTTTTTGGATGTATTCTAGGCTGTTTGTACCATTTTTTTTTTTGCTATATTGTACCCATGTTGGCTCACTTGGTACCTCTTTTTGCTGGAGAGCACTATAGAAATTAAGATGAGCAGGTCAAAGTCAAAGCCTATAGCAGCAAAACTAATGAATAGTTCAGGAAACCCAAACAAACCCTAACTATAGGATTTATCAAAAAGGAAAGACTTACCGATAAGCCCAGTCTTAAAACTGGACAATGTGTCAGTCTCATGGACAGAAACTGGAAGTTGGTTCCACAAGAGAGGAGCCTGATAACTGAAAACTTTGCCTCCCATTCTGTTTTAGGAAACTCTAGAAACCACAAGTAAACCTGCAGTCTGGGAGTGAACTACTCTGATTGTAAATTATAAAACAGTAAGATCTTTAATTTAAGATGGAGCTTGGTCTGTATGTTAGAAGGAATACTTTAAATTATGTTTTGAATTTGACAGGGAGAGATGGAGAAATGCTAAAACTTTAGAAATATGATCTAAAAAAATGAATATCTTCTAACAGCTTGGTCTAATAAAGTTGTACTTGATTAACTGTTTTTCTTCCAGGCATCGTCTCTGCAGTGTTGTTCACCATCCTGTGCATCCTGGTGCTTGTGATCCGACACATGTTCCGTCACAAAGGTTCCTACCACACTAATGAAGCCAAGGGGGCGGAGTCAGCGGATTGTGCCGATGCAGCCATCATTGTAAATGACCCAGCCTTCACCGAAACCATCGATGAGAGCAAAAAGGAGTGGTTCATCTGAAACTAGAAAAACTGATTTTTTTTTTTCCTCATTCCGAAGGAATTTAGTGGAACTTGAAGGATTCATTAATTTATTTGAAAACTTTATGCACAACGGACAGAGTGGGTGTTACAGCACAGTTTGGCAGAGCCCATGTGATCAAGTGATTTACAGTGCCTTGCGAAAGTATTTGGCCCCCTTGAACTTTTCAACCTTTTGCCACATTTCAGGCTTCAAACATAAAGATATAAAATTTTAATTTTTTGTGAAGAATCAACAACAAGTAGGACACAATCGTGAAGTGGAATAAAATTTATTGGAATTGTCAAACTTTAACAAATAAAAAATTGAAAAGTGGGGCGTGCAATATTATTCAGCCCCCTTGCCTTAATACTTTGTAGCGCCGCTTTTTGCTGCAGTTACAGCTGCAAGTCGCTTGGGGTATGTCTTTATCAGTTTTTCACATCGAGAGACTGAAATTCTTGCCCATTCTTCCTTGCAAAACCATTCGAGCTCAGTGAGGTTGGATGGAGAGCGTTTGTGAACAGCAGTCTTCAGCCCTTTCCACAGATTCTCGATTGGATTCAGGTCTGGACTTTGACTTGGCCATTCCAACACCTGGATACGTTTATTTGTGAACCATTCCATTGTAGATTTGGCTTTATGTTTTGGATCATTGTCTTGTTGGAAGATAAATCTTCATCCCAGTCTCAGGTCTCTTGCAGACTCAAACAGGTTTTCTTCCAGAATGGTCCTGTATTTGGCCCCATCCATTTTCCCATCAATTATGACCATCTTCCCTGTCACTGCTGATGAAAAGCAGGCCCAAACCATGTTGCTGCCACCACCATGTTTGACAGTGGGGATGGTGTGTTCAGGGTGATGAGCTGTGTTGCTTTTACGCCAAACATATTGTTTTGCATTGTGGCCAAACGGTTCGATTTTGGTTTCATCTGACCAGAGCACCTTCTTCCACATGTTTGGTGTGTCTCCCAGGTGGCTTGTGGCAAACTTTAAACTACACTTTTTATGGATATCTTTGAGAAATGGCTTTCTTCTTGCCACTTTTCTATAAATGCCAGATTTGTGCAGTGTACGACTGATTGTTGTCCTATTGACAGACTCTCCCGCCTCAGCTGTAGATCTCTGCAGCTCATCCAGAGTGATCATGGGCCTCTTGGCTGCATCTCTGATCAGTCTTCTCCTTGTTTGAGATGAAAGTTTAGAGGGACGGCCGGGTCTTGGTAGTTCTATGTCGTATAGGCTTCGCCCTTTAAGGCCTTGGCTTAGTGGGTTTATCCCGTTATGCGTAAGCATCACACTGAAAAAATTGGTCCACGCCCACCTGCTGTGTGGGCCCCACCCGATCCGTATAAGTTACATTAAGAGCGGGTAATCGGCTCCCATTTTTCCCATTTTTCTTCAGCAAGCTAATAACACTGACCTTGACCTTCACCGAGATGTCCAGCTCCAACACCATCCGCTTGTGTCCTTCTTGCAAGACCGGTTACTTGCTCAGCTTTGACCGCCACGACACCTGCGAGGGATGCCTGGGTCCCCGCCACGTCGCCTGCGCTTCCTCCTGCCGCCTCTGTGACGACCTTCCACCGGAGGAAAGGCAGAGGAGAGCAGCCTTGTTTAAGGCTACCATCGAGGACTGCCTGTCCGTGGTGGGAGACTGTTCGCTGGACGACGCCATGGATTTCTTCGACGCCGGCTCTCGGAGCGAATCGGATGATTCCTCTGGGACCGGTGACGTTAGAAGCAGCCCCGACGCTCGTTCTCTCCCGGGGAGCGCAGTGTTGGAACGAGGGAGGCCGAGCGGATGCTCGACCCCTCCGGGGTTTCCCGCCTCAACGGCCACACCGCTCCCTGCCATGGGCGCACTCCTCTCGGAGCTGCCCGCCATTATCCGGGAAGCTGCTAACGTAAAGGGACTTTCTGTTCCCTTACCTCCCCCGCTCAGATCGGATGATCTTGCGGGAAGGTTTGGCTCCACGCTGGCTCGCCGTCCTGATCCCATCTGGCCTCGTTTTCCAGCGGTAACGGCCTACTGGAATGAGGCCGCAGCCGGTCCTGGTAAGTTGAGAGCGCCCGTCTCCACTTACGCTCCCATTACCAGAGTAGAGGGGTTCACCGAGCGGGGCTATGCCTCGGTACCCCCCCTTGAGCCAAGCCTCGCGGACGCTTTCAGAGCTAAGCTGTCCAGGTTGGAGCAGCGTCCCGTCCCTCCTGGGAAACACGACCAGACGGTGACCGCGCTCTCCAATCGAGCCCATCAGTGTGCTTTTCAGGCAGCCGCAGCTAGCAACAACGTGGCGTTGCTAGCATATAGCATGTCCAAGAGGTTGGAGGCCGCAGACCTGTCCGAGGAGACAAAGAGCTCCCTCTGTAAGACAGCAGACGCCATCGTCAACATGTGCGCCTCCTCTACGGTTTGCCTGTCGAGGATTGCAGCGTGGATGACGATGATCCAACGATCCACCTGGCTTCGTCACTCCCCCTCGCTGCCGGAGAAACTGCACAAGGACCTGATGGAGGGCCCCATCACGCCGGACGCGCTGTTCGGGAGCAGCTTCAAAACCATGCTGGCAAATTCGAAGCAGTCGGAGGAGGTGTCAGAGGCGGTGCGCCATCTCATCAAGCCACACGGCTCATCCCGCCCCCCGGCCCGTTGGAGAGACCGTCGTGAGCAGAGGCAGAAACAACGGCGTTCCACGGCCACGGCGGCATCATCTCGCTCAGCTCCACCACCAGCCCCGCCCGTCAGAGACCACCCCTCTTCATCCCGGCAGCCTGCAGTTCAGCGTTTCCCCAGAGATCGCCTGCAGACGGCGCTCGGGGCAAACAAATCACAGAACTCACGGGGGAGACGATTTAAAAAATGACGGTCTGCCGAGGGTGTGTGTAATAATGACACGGAAGTTGAAATAAATAATTTTTCAATGGTCAAAGTGTCTGCTTTTAGCCAGGCTGTAAGCTCGGATGAACTCATAGCGGCTGCGCACACACCCTCCACACATAACGAGCCAGTGTCCTTAAATAAAGGTTTTTTAAACACACCGTCGCTCCAAGACATGACGAGTCGCCCACAAGACACAATGGTAAGCGAAATAACTCGTTATCAATCAGAGCTGCACAATCCTCACCCAAGCGGTGTCAAATGCGCATTCGGGCGATGTAAACAGCTTCCATCCAAACGGCACTGCGTTGATGATGATGCACACACAGCTGCCTGGCGCTCAACGGCTCACATCGGGATAAATGTGGGACCGCAGACCGGGTCTGGTGGAAGCCCTTGCTCCCAGCAAGAACAACACACGAAACCTCACCGGAGCAAACGCGGGCGGCCGTCATCCACCGCGTCTCAGCGCTCGGCAGCTCACGGCAGCATAAGCGTGGGACAGCTGAACGAACCCGGTGACGAGTCTCGCCTCCAGCGAGAGCGGCACGCGCCCCTCCAGCGAGAGCGGCACGCGCCCCTCCAGCGCGAGCGGCACGCGCCCCTCCAGCGCGAGCGGCGCGCGTCCCTCCAGAAGAAACGTGTGCTCCCGCGGGGCTTGCAGCCTTCACTCCAACAGCACGGTGTTGATGAAGTCACGCCCTCCGCCTCTCAACGTTCGCACAGCGACGTTAAACGTGCAGCCCCACGGCGTCATCAGCTGTCACACGCTTCGCCTCAGCACACACCGGTCCACCCAGACGTGAGGGTTGGTCCGCGGTCCGAACGCAGCGCACGGGCGCGTTCAGAGCCCTTTCGAAGAAGCCTCGCCTTGGGTCACGCGGAAAACAGTCCCGCGGCACATGACGGCGGTCGAGGCGGCGGATTGGATGACATCCGTTCAAAACATGACGCATCACTTAAACGCACGTCCACTCCACGAACGTTACGCAGAGTGGCTAAAAACATGCTCGCCGGACAAATGAATGGACAGGGTGTTATGCAAAGGCTACACGCTGCAATTTGCAACCCGACCCCCTCCGTTCAGAGGAGCTATAGAGACGGTCCTGTCATCACCAGACCAAATCTCATCCCTAAATGCAGAAGTCCAAGAGCTTCTGATAAAAGACGTAATCTCCAGAGTTCCCAACAGAGAGGAAAACACAGGGTTTTACTCACGTTACTTCCTGGTTCCAAAACGGACCGGAGGGATGAGACCGATTCTGGACCTGTCAGCTTTCAACAAGGCGATCATGGACAGACCGTTTCACATGTTGACAACCAGACAGCTGTTGGACATCATCCAAAGAAACGACTGGTTTGTTTCCATCGACCTAAAAGATGCTTATTTTCACATACCGATCATCCCAAAACACAGAAAATTTCTGCGTTTCTCCTTCCAGGGGATGAAGTATCAGTACAACAGGCTGCCGTTCGGGTATTCCCTCGCGCCTCGTACGTTCTCAAAGTGTGTGGAGACAGCCCTGCACCCATTACACAGAGCAGGGATGAGAGTTTTGTTTTACCTGGACGACCTGCTGCTGCTGTCACGCTCCAGACAGGAAGCGATGATACAGGCTCAGGTGTTGACATCACACCTGTTGAATCTGGGCTTCGCCATAAATTGGAAGAAAAGCTCGATTTTTCCGGCCCAGACAATTGTTTATCTGGGTGTGGAATTAAACTCAACCACCATGAAGGCTCGTTTATCACAAACGAGAATCGACACTTTAAAAAGTCAACTCCGCCATGTAAGACCTGGCAGAGTGGTAACAGCTGTCTCTGTCATGAAGCTGTTAGGAATGATGTCATCAGCTCACACAGTGGTTCCGCTGGGTTTGTTACACATGAGACGCCTCCAGAGATGGTTTGTGCGTCTGCGCGTGGATCCAGTAAAACAAAAGAGACGGATGATCACCGTTCCCCCCTCCGTGAGAGCAGACCTCCGACACTGGGGAAACACCCTGTCTCTGTCGGAGGGAGTTCCCCTCAGTAGACCCACGTCACACGTGTCAGTCTTCACAGACGCGTCGCTGTCAGGCTGTGGGGGACATGCCTATCTCAAGCAGTAGGGGCGCTATGGCCCCATCAAACATCAACCCACATAAATGTTTTGGAGTGTTGCACGGTGCTGAATGTGATTCAACACTTTGCTCCCGTGCTACAGAATCAACATGTGTTGATTCACACAGACAACAAGGTGACTGCTGCGTACATAAACCGACGGGGGTGTACGCTCAGCCCAGATGT